TTCGCCATCAGTTTTAGGGATGACAGATGGAGGCAAAGGAAAAAAAACCACCAACCCACCCAGCTCCCTGCTTTGGCCTCCGGTGGATTTGAAGTCACAGCCCTGTTGATGGCCACCTGCTTGTCACCCCGCGCTCTCTGCCAAAGCCATTAACATCCTGAACGAACCGCCCTCTCAGGTGCTCCGCCGGGAAAGCGGCCAGCACAAACAAGGACCTTCATCCAAGCGAGAGGAGACTCTCCGCAGCGTGGACGGTACGATGGAAACACTTCACCTTGAAGTTCAGATGGCTGCGGCCCTAAATCGGGGGGGTGATTGCAGACCCAAGTCCCCACCAGCCTGGAAACAGCCTGGACTGGGGCTGAACTGGGCTTTCCCAGCTCCATCCATCCCTGCCTGGGTCCTGGGCCCCTGCCAGGGGCTGTGAGGTCTCAACCAGCCGCCTTTGCCAGCTACAGGTACGCGAACACCACGCAGCTCCACCGGCTGGGCCAGAAAATCAGCCCTTCCTCCGACTGGTCCAATTCCTGGAGCTTACAGGAAAGCACGGCACTGTTCATCATCATTTAAATATCATTTGGAAAAAATTTTTCACTCTGAGGGTGGTGAGGCACTGGCACAGGTTGCCCAGGGAAGCGGTGGCCGCCCCATCCCTGGCAGTGTTCAAGGCCAGGCTGGATGGGGCTTTGGGCAACCTGGTGTAGTGGAGGGTGTCCCTGCCCATGGCAGGGGGGTTGGAACTGGATGGTCTGTGAGGTCCCTCCCAACCCAAACCAGCCTGGGATTCCCAAGTTATCCTGGAAGCAATGGGCAGAGAACGCAAGACAGGAAAATCGGCGATTGCCAACGCGTGTTCCGTGATGCCAAGCAGCAAACCAGGGCACCTTCTGTCGCAGCGAGGCCGAGTCGAGTTTGACAAACGTTGGGGTTCCAGGTACTTCATTCTCTTGAGCACATGGCACAGATGCCGTTCAGAAACACACATCCCTCCCCTTCCCCTTCCCGCCCCAGGGCTCTTCCTGACCAGCGCACACGGAACGAGGGGGGGTACAAAGCAACAGGTCACGTTTCCAGCACCATGGGGTGACGTGTATATCCCGTCCCTCGAAGCACACGTTGCTGCCGGGCCAGAGAACCGCAACGCCTGCACCACGTTCCGTTTCCTGAGTATCGGGAAGTTTGGGAGAAGGAGCTGATTTAGGGGCATTGGCAGGAAAGGCCACCGTAAAGCCACGGATTGCTGGAATCGTTTTGCTCCAGATGAGCAACCTCGGAAAAGAGCATCGCGGCTCCGTCAGTGTCCAGCTGCTGGAGAGTCCAACTTTGGCAGAGCGACTGTTTGCCTACGGAGTTGTACGGACATCACACTGCTGAACGGATCGTTCAGCGCTTCGGCACAGCGGGTCTTGCACCAAAAAGCAGTGCGGGTCACTGGCGCGGCTCACCGGCACCAGACCTCCTCCCACCGCACCGCTGCCCCAGGCACCTCACCAGCTTCCCCCGGGAGTTCGGACCACCCAGGTGAGACACGGGACACGGTCACTTACGTCGAGCGATTTGGTAATCACCGTTCCCGATTTAGTGCTTCATCATCTTCCCGTTTGGGATATAGAGCTTTGAGGGAAGCCAGCAAAATCTGATATTTTTTTTTAAATGAGAGAGTTCAAAGTTTATCCCTTCTGTTCTCAAGAGGATCAACAGCAGGTTTTAAGAAACAATAAACAGTTTTTAAAAAAATAAAGTCAAAATTGCACATAAGGTACCTCCATTTCAGTATTTTTTGGACACGGATATGACGGCACAGAGCGAGCCAAGCCTGGATGTCTGCTAAAGAGCCGAGAGCTTCCAGGGCACGTGGCTGTTCCCAGGCTGCGCGCCCAGCTTCGGGAGCACTGGAGTCACCAGGAAGTTCACGCGTGAGGAAGAGGAGCTCCAGCAATCACCACAGCATTGCTGCGGCGAGCAGCTGGCCCTGCCCCAACATCACTGGGCTACTGTGAGGCTCATGAGTTGGGTCTTACGTGACCCCAGGATTCCTCACAGCCGGGCTCTTTTCTGGACACGTTTCCTGACAATAACACGCAGCCTCACGGAGACCAGCAGCAGTGAATCGCTGCTGGCAAGAAACCTGGCATCGGTTTTGCCACCCGGTGCTCCTGGGATCACGCGAGACAGTCCTTTTCTGAACTGTCCTCAGCTCCCAGTTCTCCCCACTTTGAAACACCAACTCTCCAGAAGCAAAGCAGCAGCTAAATTCAAATTACTACGCAATAAGTGAAGGTGGTGACCACGGTATCTCCGTACAATGAGCAATTCCCCTCAGACCAAATTTTCCCACAGCGAAACAGGAGCTCGGCGCGGTGGGAACCTCCAGCTGTACCCAACTATTTCCCATTTTACTTCCCCACGACGCGTTATATGCTACAAAAACACAGAATCAAACTGCAGCCAAGAAAAATAGTTACCCCCCCCACACACACACCCCTCCCAGCAACAGGCTGCCCTTTAGCAGAAAAAGTTCCAGCACGACCCAGGTGATTGAACTGCAGTGGAATTAGCTTCATTTGACTGTATTTAAATAAAATAAAGCGTTTTAAAAAAAATCAACAGGCACTAAAACACCCTCAGCTGCTCACACCCACGCACCAGCCCGAGCCCCGTGTAGGTGGCACGCGACAGCCTCTCCCCACCCCTCCCCGGGCAGACTGTTGGGCAGTTGGTGGATGCCACGGAAAGCGGGAAGGTGTGT